AATTTATAATTGTAACAAATAGTATTTGAATCAAAACATTCAATCGGGTAAAATACGGGCGTTGCCCGGGTCATTCGGCTAATGTATATATAAGCTACATTAAGATATCCATAAATAGTAAAATAAAGCATTTTAAGAAAATAGCTATCTATTTTTTAATATAATATTAATGTGGTTTTCCTTATTTAATAAATTTATCTTTCCGGATAGATGGCATTCTGCAAACCTGTGTTATAAATAAATCTGCCTTTGCATGCGCCGAAAATGATATTTTTTTTTTCAAAATACAATTTTTTCCAGTTTTCCAATCACAATTACATCTGAATTGAATGTAGTTAAACAAAGATTCATTGAATAAATTACATGTAGATAAATATCAACATATATAGTCACGACCGTCTTTCCACCGTCAATTCCTCAATTCCTCATGTCACGGATGCGCGCGCATCATCATTAGTATAATATAAAAAGCCAACAATGAAGAATGAATGTAAGATAAAAAGCCAACAATGAAGAGTAAATATGATATAAAAAGCCATCAATGAAGAATGAATGTAAGATAAAAAACCAACAATAAAGAGTAAATGTAATATAAAAAGCCAACAATGAAGAATAAATGTAAGATAAAAAGCCAACAATGAAGAGTAAATATAATATAAAAAGCCAACAATGAAGAATGAATGTAAGATAAAAGCCAACAATGAAGAGTAAATATGATATAAAAAGCCAACAATGAAGAATAAATGTAAGATAAAAAGCCAACAATGAAGAGTAAATATAATATAAAAAGCCAACAATGAAGAATGAATGTAAGATAAAAAGCCAACAATGAAGAGTAAATATGATATAAAAAGCCAACAATGAAGAATGAATGTAAGATAAAAAGCCAACAATAAAGAGTAAATGTAATATAAAAAGCCAACAATGAAGAATAAATGTAAGATAAAAAGCCAACAATGAAGAGTAAATATAATATAAAAACCAACAATGAAGAATGAATGTAAGATAAAAGCCAACAATGAAGAGTATATATGATATAAAAAGCCAACAATGAAGAATAAATGTAAGATAAAAAGCCAACAATGAAGAGTAAATATAATATAAAAAGCCAACAATGAAGAATGAATGTAAGATAAAAAGCCAACAATGAAGAGTAAATATGATATAAAAAGCCAACAATGAAGAATGAATTTAAGATAAAAAGCCAACAATAAAGAGTAAATGTAATATAAAAAGCCAACAATGAAGAATAAATGTAAGATAAAAAGCCAAAAATGAAGAGTAAATATAATATAAAAAGCCAACAATGAAGAATAAATGTAAGATAAAAAGCCAACAATGAAGAGTAAATATAATATAAAAAGCCAACAATGAAGAATGAATGTAAGATAAAAAGCCAACAATGAAGAGTAAATATGATATAAAAAGCCAACAATGAAGAATGAATGTAAGATAAAAAGCCAACAATGAAGAGTAAATGTAATATAAAAAGCCAACAATGAAGAATGAATGTAAGATAAAAAGCCAACAATGAAGAGTAAATGTAATATAAAAAGCCAACAATGAAGAATAAATGTAAGATAAAAAGCCAACAATGAAGATTAAATGTAATATAAAAAGCCAACAATGAAGAATAAATGTAAGATAAAAAGCCAACAATGAAGAGTAAATGTAATATAAAAAGCCAACAATGAAGAATAAATGTAAGATAAAAAGCCAACAATGAAGAGTAAATATAATATACAAAGCCAACAATGAAGAGTGAATGTAAGATAAAAAGCCAACAATGAAGAGTAAATGTAATATAAAATGCCAACAATGAAGAATGAATGTAAGATAAAAAGCCAACAATGAAGAGTGAATGTAATATAAAAAGCCAACAATGAAGAATGAATGTAAGATATAAAGCCAACAATGAAGAGTGAATGTAAGATAAAAAGCCAACAATGAATAGTAAATGTAATATAAAAAGCCAACAATTAAGAATGAATGTAAGATAAAAAGCCAACAATGAAGAGTAAATATAATATAAAAAGCCAACAATGAAGAGTGAATGTAAGATAAAAACCAACAATGAAGAGTAAATGTAATATAAAAAGCCAACAGAGTGAATGTAAGATAAAAACCCAACCATGAAGAGTGAATGTAATATAAAAAGCCAACCTTGAAGAATGAATGTAAGATAAAAAGCCAACAATGAAGAGTAAATATGATATAAAAAGCCAACAATGAAGAGTGAATGTAAGATAAAAAGCCAACAATGAAGAGTAAATGTAATATAAAAAGCCAACAGAGTGAATGTAAGATAAAAAGCCAACAATGAAGAGTAAATATAATATAAAAAGCCAACAATGAAGAATGAATGTAAGATAAAAAGCCAACAATGAAGAGTGAATGTAATATAAAAAGCCAACAATGAAGAATGAATGTAAGATAAAAAGTCAACAATGAAGAGTGAATGTAAGATAAAAAGCCAACAATGAATAGTAAATGTAATATAAAAAGCCAACAATGAAGAATATATGTAAGATAAAAAGCCAACAATGAAGAGTAAATATAATATAAAAAGCCAACAATCAAGAGTGAATGTAAGATAAAAAGCCAACAATGAAGAGTAAATGTAATATAAAAAGCCAACAGAGTGAATGTAAGATAAAAACCCAACAATGAAGAGTGAATGTAATATAAAAAGCCAACCTTGAAGAATGAATGTAAGATAAAAAGCCAACAATGAAGAGTAAATATGATATAAAAAGTCAACAATGAAGAGTGAATGTAAGATAAAAAGCCAACAATGAAGAGTAAATGTAATATAAAAAGCCAGCAGAGTGAATGTAAGATAAAAAGCCAACAATGAAGAGTAAATATAATATAAAAAGCCAACAATGAAGAGTAAATCTCTATATATATAAAAATGAATGTTTGTCTGTTTGTATGTTTGTTTGTATGTCCGGTATACAAATTCGCAGTAGTTCACTAATTCAAACCAAACTTTCCATACATAGGTAAAATATACGGGGAAGACGATAGGCTATTTAAAAATATATATAAATCAATTATTAAAACTATATATTTTCAGTCAGAAAATGATGATGACGATATTGCTGTATCATGTTTGATTATCAGATACAAAATAATATCAGGAAAATTTCCAAAAAGCAGAGACCACGGGTGAAACCAGTTCATTATTTTGTACGCAGGAACAAAATTCTAACAGAAAAACATTCATTCGAGCAGAAAACAAAAGCCAGATCATCTTTCTATAAAAATATCGCTTCTCAGACACAAAGTTTGCAGCGGGACGTTTCACAAGTGTGACATCCACGGCGCCAATTTATAATTGTAACGAATAGTATTTGAATAAAAACATTTAATCGGGTAAAACCCGGGCGTTGCCCGGGTCATTCGTCATTAATATATAGTCACGACCGTCTTTCCTCAATTCCTCATCGCTGTCACGGATGCGCGCGCATCATCATTATGATCATTATCTTCTATAGAAGCTTCTATCTTTATAATTATGTATATTTACAAAAAGTCAATTCGCTCGCGCCTCTAGCGGTGAAAATAAGGGGTAATACCAGCTGACCTAATGTACATATAAATTTTGGAGCGGGACGTTTCACAAGAGTGACATCCACGGCTCCAATTTATAATTGTAACAAATAGTATTTGAATAAAAACATTCAATCGGGTAAAACCCAGGGCGTTGCCCGGGCCATTCGTCTAGTTTGTATATAAAAAGGAACATACTCGGATCTGTCTGTAAGAAATATTTTTCTTTCAAAATATCGTTTTCATGGGGATTGCTCCCTCTTTATTATTAATTTTTATTTTTCTGCAATAAATCGCTAAAGAGGTAGCAATCCCTCAAAATATTTTGAAAATATTGTCGATCTGATCAACCCCTGACGTTATGAGTCCTGCCAAGACGACCACTAGTAGATATGCCTAAGACCAATCGCCAGCTCGGCTAAAAAACGAACCATAGTCAAATCGTTATCGCTAAACCATGGCCTAGGTGGCATACCTATGGCCAGATGACAGGAAACCAGGAGGTAGCCAGACCCGAGGTTCATATAGTCTTTTCCGGCGGGCGCTGGGCCGGCAATGATAACAATTGGTCGTTTTCTCTATCTATCGAAGGATGAAGCAATCCCTGTTTTAGATACACTAATTATGAAGGGCTTGGAACATACTTATTTATTGCTATCTTCCAGTATTTCTTTGACGTTTTTGCATCTGCTATCCACTACAAAATCTTAGAATTCTATCCACAGCTGACCACATTGGATTATTGAAAGAATAAATAGTTTTGATCCAAGATATAGGCGATCTCTTCCTAATTGATATTGTCTCGGAGATAAATAAAGCAAGGGCAAATTTAGGGATAATTAATTTATTATAAAGGGTATTTACCTTTTAGTTCTCAAATAAAATTATATACAAGAGGTATTTAAGGGAGAGAAAGTCTTATGATAAAACAACTTATCCCCAGGTAAAGATAATAATAATGAGCGGCGTCAGCCACCAAGGGGTCCCGTTTTCCTTATTTACAGATCAGCTTCCGAGAACCCCTCACACCTGTGGTCCCCCCCCCCCCCCCCCGGGGTCCAGGGATGATTGACAGGTGTCCCATCTGGATGGAGTTTCTTGACAATATATACATACATTATGATATTACCCAGAAGGCTGAGAAGCGATATTCTATATATGGATGACCTGGCTTCGTGTGTCTTCTGTTCGAGTGAATGTTTTGCTATTAGAATATTGTTCCGTTGACATCGTGTTTATGTAAAACTAGCCGAATGACCCGGGCAACGCCCGTGTTTTACCCGATTGAATGTTTTTATTCAAATACTATTTGTTACAATTATCATATTAGTTACGTATTGTGGACGTGTATAGTTGACAAACATACATACATACATACGCTGACTTTTATATATATAGGGATAATAATATAAATGAGTTTTAAAAATTGTAAAATAGAAAAAAAATGCATCGGGGCCTGGAATCGAACCCAGGCCGCCCGCGTGGCAGGCGAGCATTCTACCACTGAACCACCGATGCTTATAAGAAATGGCCCTATTCATTAAGGAATATAGAGATTGGTTTCTTTTGCGTGATGTGTGGTGTGGCTTGTGGAAAGGCCGCTGATAAAATTATAATGAAAATTAATTTATTTAAAGCCAGAAATATAAAAAGAGAAAAGAAGTAAAGGTTGAAGTAACGGCCGTTGGGATCAGGCCTTGTTGTTATGACGCCAGTGGCCAGCAAAAGTCTCGGAACACGCGCATGCGTAGTCAGGTTGACGCTCGCGGTTGCCGAGGACGTCCACTGCCCGTGTGTGTAGTGAAGCTTTATCCCAGTTCGCGCTCGCTGAAGCAAAGTGCGGTCGCCACATATCTATAGATGGCGTCAGGTTTTGACGTTTATTTTGAAGGGAGAGGCGCCCTATGCTTCTATGGATCAATTTCCTCCCGGCAAAATTTCTATCTATATATATTTCTATGAAAAAAATCATATATAAAGAGCAAAATAATATTTATATTATGACTAGCGGACGTACCCGGCTTCGCCCGAGGTTTTACCCGAGTAAAGGTTTGTCTAACGAACATTTGTTAAAACAATTCTCTATAAACTTATAAAAAAAGAGATATATTTTGATAATTTGAAACTCGTAAATTTGAATCTCTCGATAAAGTGAACATTTTTTCCCGGTCCCTGTGTGCCGTGTCATCCTGAATTTTGTCATTCCTAATTTTCTACATTACAATATCATCGTTTTATCTAGTGAACATATTTTCCCGGTCCCTTGAAAAATACTCGATAGGTTGAATAAAATAAACGACACGGGATATCATTTAATGTTGTCTAAAGGGGGTTAAGTGAGCAGTCTCTTTCAAATGTGAAATGCTTTAATTAAGCAGATGTTTAAAGTATAATATATGAGAGAGGCAATCTTACAGGTTGTCGACGCTGTAAAATCCCCAGAGAGAGTGTTTTTGTAGCATCATGCTGTGACTCACACGATGACCCAAGGTCATCAGGAGCAGCAAACTTAAGCCTATCTCCGTCTCAATGGTGGGGCTGCTTGCGAGTTAAAGCTACAAATCTGCAAATAACTCTAAGGATATTAAAGATATTCAAGATATTTTTTTCGTAAACCTTTCCGGGGATATGCCTAATAATATCCCAAAATTTCACGGCGATTGGATGTACGGTTTTTGAATCTATAGAGTACACACAGACCACAGACAAACAGACAAACAGACAGACAGACAGACAGACATTCAATTTTATATATATAGATTCATTTAGTTAACCCAGGTTCCTGGAGCTTACAGTAGTCGCCAACTACCCAGGCTGTCCTTCTATATAACACACTCTTATGTCTTCTTGGTTTTATTTACAATGCCACTGGAAGTCCCATTCATGAGGTACCTACATGAAAATTTATTTCTTAGAAGAATTTCTAGGGATACTGTAATTAGGTTTGTAATCCTTAAGATGAAGTGGCCGTCAGGAATCTTTGGTATTGGAAGGTTGAGCAGAGAGGTTAATGTTTATAAGAAATTTCACAAAACACTGATGCGAAATTCGGTAGAAGAATTCTCAGTGATGATTCTTTTGTGAGCTGTTGCAAAGATTTAAACAGGATCACTAAATAGCAGAAAGGAGAGGGTAAAATTCTCCTTCAAACTAACTTTATTCAAAACATCTTAAGAGGACAGAGGAAAACACCCATCTGGGCGGTAGCAGACCAGGCCGTGTTCTGATCCTTTGTTGGCGGCTGGCGCCGCAGGGGTTAGTTTGTTTACAGTCACCCGAGCTGTCTGGACGACGTCCCGAAGTGGATCTCCATTATTCCACAATGACAGAGAGAGAATTAGCTTATAATTTTAGCATCAAAATAATACAAAAGAGAGTAGTGATTCATTCTGTTAGAGCAGGTTGTAGCGGCTCCCAAATATTAACTTTTTATATTTTCATTAGAAGTTTTAATTTGTTTAATAACTATTCAATTCAAATATTAAATATAAATATTCATCTCTTATAAATATATAATGCTCTCTCATAAAATATACTTTATTAAAATAATTTAAATTAACATTAATATCATATTATTTGTGTGTGTGTTTTGTCATAATAATATAATAAAAATAATTATACATCATTCTAAATATAAATCATATAAAATATAAATATTTATACTATAATATATCAAACACATATATCTAACATTTTATAATATAGAAATGATATTTGACCACTACACATAAACACACAAAAAGAACATCAACATGTGATATATCACAATTTAACCCCTTCAGATAATTTGTATTAAATAAATGTAATCAAAAGTTGATTTTACGATAAATAATTTGTTATCTGACTCCGCTTAGAATTCCATGCCGCCCACAAAGTGATATCGTCTGTTTATTTTATTTGAATGTCAACACCACAAAGATTCACTGCACTTGGAATCGCTCAATGTAATCCCAGCCTCGTTGTGAAATCTTCCACAAGATCAATCAGCTTGATGCAATCTACATGGCAAATAAAACAAAGAAGACTCAACCTGAAGGACAACTCGAAGAGGCTCTCTTTATATACCCATTTGGCTAACTAAATAAATCTATTCAAAGCGAGTACTGGTAAAAAAGAGCAATGTGGACAGGAGATGACATTGTCACTAATTTATTATTCATCCAGCTTTCATTTATAGTTTGGTTATATGGCGAACATAGAATTAAATATCCTAAAGTGTAACTAACTCTAGGCTTTCTGAAATGTAAATAAATACTTAGGACATCCAACATCTCCAGGCACTTCTACCACCTGGATTGTTCCAGTTTTACACTCCTGGACAATACTTAAGGAAACTGCTTTTCACCTGTGTAGACATGTGGTCCACGTACAGTAAAAGCAGTCGCCAACTTCTACCCACCATGATTATCATGGCCTGTATCACGTGTACTAGGGATAAGCAAAAAAAAAAAAACTTAAGGAAATGGAAAGTCTTGATGCGTGGCTGAAGGGAAGCCAGAGCGTTGCACTTCAGCTTGCTCCAAAATCACTTTATTAGGTACCGCTCACAAAGAGCAACTTAGTTTATGTTATTTATAATAGATATTATGTACAGATTCGGTTCCATAATCACTTTATTAGGTACCGCTCAAAAAGAGCTACCTAGCTTATGTTATTTATAATAGATATTATGTACAGATTCGGTTCCAAAATCACTTTATTAGGTATCGCTCACAAAGAGCAACCTAGCTTATGTTATTTATAATAGATATTATGTACAGATTCGTTTCCAAAATCACTTTATTAGGTATCGCTCACAAAGAGCAACCTAGCTTATGTTATTTATAATAGATATTATGTACAGATTCGGTTCCAAAATCACTTTATTAGGTATCGCTCACAAAGAGCAACCTAGCTTATGTTATTTATAATAGATATTAGGCACAGATTCGGTTCCAAAATCACTTTATTAGGTATCGCTCACAAAGAGCAACCTAGCTTATGTTATTTATAATAGATATTAGGCACAGATTCGGTTCCAAAATCACTTTATTAGGTATCGCTCACAAAGAGCAACCTAGCTTATGTTATTTATAATAGATATTAGGTACAGATTCGGTTCCAAAATCACTTTATTAGGTATCGCTCACAAAGAGCAACCTAGCTTATGTTATTTATAATAGATATTATGTACAGATTCGGTTCCAAAATCACTTTATCAGGTACCGCCCACAAAGAGCAACCTAGCTTATGTTATTTATAATAGATATTATGTACAGATTCGGTTCCAAAATCACTTTATTAGGTACCGCTCAAAAAGAGCAACCTAGTTTATGATATTTGTAACAATGAATGTGAAAGTTATTCACATATTTTAAACAAAATGTTAACGCGGGATTCAATCCCAGTTCATGGCTGTCGGGAATCGAGGGTGTTACCCACTCGTCCACCGACTCTATTTGGAAAGTCTTTAATGTCGCCGGTCGTCTATTTTTTTTTTTAAAAAGAAAGAGGTAATTTTGTTTACACTTAGTTATCCCATGTGTCTTCAATAAAAGTCTCTGTAATATCTTTCAGAGTTATTGTCTGAATCTTGATGATATACATGCTAAAAGGTACAACGTCCTAAAGTTTTGTCCAGGAGTGTATACCATGGTGAGGTGGACATAGTAACTTCAAAGCAGAATTCTAAAGCAACTAAGCGCCTTATCATAAATTCCTAAAAGTCCTGTATTTATAAAATCTCAATTAACAGAGGGTCAAATTGTTGATTAAATACACTCATGAAGACAACATTTAAGGGAGTTGTACCTTTTTGAATGTATAACGGGATTCAAACAATAACTCTGAAAGATATTACAGTGACCTTTATTGAAGATACACGATATAACCAAGTGTGAACAAAATTGTATCTGTCTCCTTAAAATAATAATAATATCAGACGACCGGTGATGTATGATATATTAGCGCGCCATCTGTTATGGGAATTTGTAACTATTATAGACGCTTACGATTCTTTTAAAAATTAAACAATTATCTACTGCCCTTACTGCAATAAAAAATTAATTGGAGGGCCTGGCTCTTCAGTAAGGGCAGTAGATAATTGTTTAATTTTTAAAATAATTTCTAATTCCATTAAATTTTGCCTATGAGTGTGCTTTTTTATTTCGGCAATTATTGAATCTTATGCGCATGTTGTATTCGCTGAATGACTGTAGATTATGCATTGAAACTTCACGAAAATGATTAATTAACATGGAAAGATCTCCTGGAAAAAACGGCAGGCAATTGGGTCGTGAAAATAGATAAGATATATACGTTGAGCGTGAGATATAAACATATCCATAAAAATAAAAGAAATTAAAAACGAACCTGCCAGGATTCGAGCCTTGAATCTTCTAATCCGTAGTCGCGGGCGGATGGAACAATCGGTGGAACAATGAGAGAATGTCAATACTAAGTTCCAGATAGCTGAAACCGAGGGTGGAAAATTTGTGTTCTGCTATAACAATAATTAGCTACTAACTATGCTGGACTCC